GAGAGAGAGAGAGAGAGAGAGAGAGAGAGAGAGAGAGAGAGACTAATCATTAAAACAGAGCACCCATTGCTTTTGAATAATGCCATTAAAGTGTATATGAATGCACTTCCAAGTTACATTCCATAAGCTCAAAACATTTTGGAAGACAGCAATTTAAGATTGTCTAGCATTCCCAGGATATTCATGGGCCTTTTGAGGAGCTCAGCATGGATTAAGTCACCACATAATGAAAATGCAAGAGAAAAATTGAGAGAAGCATCTATCAGACTTTGCATTCCTTATTCTAATAGCTAACATGATTTCAGGGTTATCAATGAGCTAGCACAGATATTAGGGTTGAACATTGGATTAATTTCAGATGTTTGAAATGATTTTGTTTTTACTGTGAGGGCCAAATTGGGTATAGACATAGGCTTACTGAAAATGAGAAGGCAAGCATCTGCTATCAATTCATTTTATTGGAGTATTGGTTTGTTGTATTATTGACACACTTGCTATAAAGTTTTCTAGGCTTCTGGGAGGAGAACAAAAATGTAACAATATCAAATGAAGCATGGCCAGTTTTATCTAAAAACCCACTGAAGAAATATTTTCTTAAACTGTGTGTTCTCCATAAAGTTGTCCTCATGGGCAAATGATCTAAAGTTTGTTGAACATGAACTATTGCTGAATTTTAAAATTTACAATATAGTTGATATAAAATTTCCTTGATCTGTTAGGAACCTACCAGGTTACTGTTAAGATTCACCTATTACTCTTCCGAAAGATATGTGGCACTTCCTCTGAGCAGAAGCCCATTACATATAGTTCTCTGTCTCCATGGCAGCCATGATTGCTACAAAATAATGCTACCCACAGAATGCTTCTTCCTATTTTTTATAGATAATTAGACTTGCATTGTTCCATAATTAAAAATTAATCTTGATATAACCAGAAGGGGGTTATTTTGAAGTGTTTTTATATTAATTGTATGGTAATTTTGTCTGTTTATGGTCTTGGTTGCTGTGAGTTTCTTGAGTATGGTGCCTTTTGTACCCATTAGAAAGAAGTGAGGTAATCTTCTGTTTATTTACTTGCTTTTTTGCCAAATAAATGGTTTGACCTACAAAATTGCAGAATAACCTATTGACATACCAGATACAGGACAACACATTGTTTCCTTCTCCTTAGGAAGTTTTAACCTTCCCTGACTTCACATTACTTTGAGGAACAAAAAAATCTCCATTGTTTCCAAAGCAATGACTTGTGCTGTTTGATAACAAAGCCACTTAAGGAAGCAAGGAAGAACTAATCGTTGTTTGTGAACAATAGTCTGCAACTATAGTGTTCCTTAAGGTGGGAGGAATGAAGGGGCATATTTGAGAAACCCACTGATTTCCTCAACTCCAGTTAGAATACATCACTACAGATGTGGTGAAAATAGAAACTGCATCTTAACTTAGAATGTAAAAGAAGAATAGGAGTTCCTTTCTTTTCATGGGGCTATCTGAACATTTCCAGAGAGCTTTAATGCCATTTGTGTAAAAAACTATGAGGTGAGTATTAAAGTGATATATTTTACATTATTTAAAACACACACTCAAAACAGTTATGTGGTATTTATGTCAAATGTTTCAGCCTTTTAATTTTGATTTTTGGTTCTTTGAATTTGAAAAAGACTTTTAAAAGGAAAACCTAGATTTACAATTACTATTCTTGTTTATCAGGAGACTCACTTTTATCCTGCCGTCCCCATTTAATCAGTAGCTTTGTGACACATGATCAGCCTTTAGCCACTGCTACTGCTGTCCCCAGAATTCAATAAATAAAAGGCAGCCATGGTCTGAGAGTCTGTAAGTCTGGCACCTTTGAAATCATTGCATTCCATTAAATGGTACATTTTTTATTGCCCGTCTTTGATCATGAAATCAGAAAATGCCTGTTTCCATAGTAATACACATAGGTCTCAAAAATGAGCAAACTCATGTTCCTTGTATAGCATTCTTACTGCTACTTGGAAAGTCATCATAAGCAACTTGCTGTTAGGAGAGCTATTGACATGTTTGTTACCTGCTCCAACAACTTTGTCGATGGATATGTTGGTGGCGTCCAACTCCTTCGCGAACTCATGAACTGCTTGTGTAGGATCCTCGTATGTATGAGGGTCAACATATGTCCTGAGGCCTGGAAGCTTTACTATTACAAAAAGAGATGCATGATTTTACAGAGTGAATTTCATAACATTTGTGACTGGAGACATCTTTATCTCAATCCGTTGTATTGTCTACTAAATACTACTCTGTAGTAATAAAAAATCTGCCAGAAATGTTGTACTAAGTGTAGAAAGAAACTGAAAAAAGTTGTCTGTGATATAACATATAAAGAAAGCAAGCAAAGGTAGTTTCTCTGCTAAAACAAGGGGACACTAAAGTGCAGATCTCAAGAAATAAGAGGACAAGGACATGAATAGGCAAGGTAATTATTATCACAAGCCTTTATGCCACTGTGCAACCAAACATTTCTGATTCAAAGGCATTAGACTAGCTAAATATCTGTTGCAGTGTACTATCTGACAGTTACCCAAAAGCCACATGGATATGCTCAGGAGACAGAAGAGAGTCAGAAGTATCATGTAATTAAAATGTTTCAAAAGCCGAACACCTCGGATACCATTGTTATTTTATTTACTCATGAATGAGTTTGCTCATCTGAACTGAAAATTTGAATTCAAGCTCTCTATCTCATGTGTATGCCAGCATACTGTCAATGGACTGAAATCAATGTGACTTTTGACATAACTAAGATCAACATAAATATTGTGTATAAGTTTAATTGTTATGCTGAAGTCATTTTTTTTTTGTTTTCTTCTAGACAGGGTTTCTCTGTGGCTTTGGAGGCTATCATGGAACTAGCTCTTGTAGACTAGGCTGGTCTTGAACTCACAGAGATCCACCTGCCTCTGCCTCCCTAGTGCTGGGATTAAAGGCATGTGCTACTAATGCCCAGCTTGAAAAATCATTTCAAGCAAAAACCATACATGTAACTTCATACTATGTTTAATTATTGAATTATTCTGAAGGTGAACATTTCATGAATTTCTATGAATAAACTATAAAAAATCCAGATGTAAATCTTTCAATGTCATTTAGTATTATGGGATTTGAAAAAAATGATCACATTAATGACTGTTAAATCTTTCTTTGAAAGAAAACTTTTCAAACAAGAACATAAGATCAACCCATGAACACACACTCTCTAACACTAAGGGTTGGAAATTAATTGCCACAATGTATTTGTTGACATTACAGATGATTTTAATTTTGGTAACATGGATCATATTGCTTTAATATGAACTATGCATGCTTGAAAGATCCAGTTTTTCATTTAGTTACACTTAAGTGTGAGTGGGCATCTTTCTTTTATTTAAAAAATAAAATAATATCAGATACTGTAATTTCCAAAAATTACTTTATAATTAGAGCATCTCTTTTCCAAACATGTAACTAAGGACTGCATAGGCCCAGTAGGCATTTGAGTTGTTTTTATGGTATTTAAAAAGTGCCAGGAGGGGTGCTGAAGCCTTCAGCACAGTGGAACATCAGCTAGTGAATCTTTCATTTCATAGTAAATTTGTTCTTTAAAGCTGATTTCTTTCATGAAACAATTATTCTTTTTCATGAAAATAAGTGATGTCAAAAATTTCACAAAGGGATTTATTATTTTTAATATTAAACTAATACAGATCCTAACTATCAATACTATCAACACTAAGACACTGTGCCTAAGGAAAACAGTCATACCTTTCTTGATTTGGAAACCATTAAGTTACTAAAATATATTACAAAGCAAGTATGTGTTAGAATCTTTTAGCTTTAGTCAGAGTTTGGCTACATTTAAATATTCACTTCTGATTACTGATTCTTTATCTGTCTCTACTGAAAAATAAAAGAATCTAGCTTTTCTCTTAAAGAAAATAACATTTTAAACATAACGTAAAGTTGAATATTTTTTGCTATATAATTGCAAATCTTTGACCTTGTTAAATTTGAAGAATAAAGATCATTTTAGGGAGAATTGCTAGAATTAGAATTTATAGAAATGTGAAATAATTTTTAAAATGTAATGTCTGAAAATTTTAAAAAATATTCTGCTGGTTAAAAAGTTCTCAATTGAGATTTTAATGACAATCCTAGGAAAAATATGTTTCACTAAATAATATAAAGTTTGGATAATCATTCTTCCATCAGAATCAATCACACTCACTTCTATTCTTTAGCATAAAGTAAATTGATTTTCCATACACATGACATTTGTGAAAAATTATAAACACAAACACACACCCATGAGTAAAATGGTCTGTTCACTAGGGACTTTGACTGTTGATTTTTAACTGCTCACCCTTGACGTTCTGGGAACCAGGAGGTTTGGGCTGCAATGCAAGAAACCCCTTAACACCAATAATTAAGGGCACCATACAGAGTAACTGGGCTCTGCCATGAAAACCAGATAATAAACACATGCCCACGTGTTAAGCTGCACTACTTTACAGCTCATTCTGTGCAAACACAATAATTTACATTTCCATTTTACCAGCATGAGTTGCCCTAAGGACGGTAACAAAAATTGTGAAAAATTGTCGAGGCAGTGAGGGCAAAGGGACAGGATCTTAAGAGGCAAAACACATTTCTTTTCTTTTGAAGCAACATTATAGGATTTGTAACAAGGCTTGAGGGAATAGTTCATAGCTACAGCTTTTTAAAGTAATACCAAATAAATGGTCTGAAATAATCCAGCTGTAGTATTGAGAGGCAAAAAGTCTATGACAGGCATGTAAGTTTCTTTATGGTTTTGGAGCTGAGATAATATGCATTTCTTTGTTTAAAATTTGTCTATTGTAAAGATACAGTGCATTGAAAAAAAACATTATAAGAAATTCAGCCATAAAAAACAAGAGTAAAATACTAGAACCTTCATAGAATTGGTGACAGACATTTATCAAAGTAGATATTCATAAGGCTTACGATCCCTGTAAAGATAGCTAAGTCACTATGGTCCAGTATAGAGTATTCACAGGAACCACCCACCTCTAACTAAGAAGGATCCAGGTCACAAGAATCAAAATAACCTAGTCAGACTATGAAGAAAGAGAAAGTCACTGTTCTATAATTTGATGATTCACTAAGTGTATTTGGTAAACTAACTTACCAGGGTTGAAGTAACCTGTGTAGATGTGGCAATGAATTAAGCCACAAACTTAGTGTTTTGTTGTAGAATGATTATTGTATTACAACTCTACAAGGAGATGAATAAAACCTACTGCAAACTCTTGTACTGCTTCCACACATGAGCTGGCATTTTCATAAACATTCTTTCCTCTTTTTTCCCATTCTGTTGTTTGCTTTCTACTTGTAAATAAGAAATAACTTTTTTTTACATTAGATATAGCTGAAAGGGTAGCTCTTTAGATGCTGAAATGGTATCAATCCCAGTTCCCTCTCCCTCCCATCCTCCCATGCCCCCCATTAACCCCCATCCCATCCCCTTTCTGCTCCTCAGAGAGGGAGAGGTCTTCCATGGGGGAACCATCAATGTCTGTAGCAAATACTAAAGTCGTTCTTTCTTACAAGACTTCCTAGTTAGTTCTATGAAGATATTTTAGAGCAAGTGAACATTAGTCTGCACCTTTGCTAACTTCCATGAGATCTTGTTGTTCTTCTGAAAGCCATTTATTAATGTTTGCACCCTGAATGAAGTTGGTTTGGCAAAGTGACACATGGAATGATTCATTTTACAAGAGGGAATTAAAAAAAAAATTCATCTTTTTGTTAGGTGCAAACATTTTGTTACCGAAAAGTATATTTCTATTACTAGAGGTCAAATTGGCTGGTATAGAAACTGAGAGGAAAAAACCTTGTCTTTTCTACCAATTGGATGACACATAACTTGAAAATAAACAGTTTATTGTGAAAGCCTTTTCCTGATTGGTGGAACAAATGGAGTAAGGCGTTTCACATAAACATTGGTTGTTTACATTTCCTTGGCAGTTGAGAGAAGGAAAATGCTCCCATTTAGTTTTCAGCACAGAATTAGTAATGAAGAAGTTGAGGGTATGCTTCCATTTGAGGCAAACAGTATGCACTGCAGTTCTCAGGACTCATGACGGACATTATTTGAACGTAAACCCCAGGTTCACTTCTCTTTAAGCATGCTGAAAAGCAGCCATGGGGAAATTGCTTAATGTAGAGCCAAGGATTCCCTCCTTTTTCTAAAATAAATTTAATTTGTGCATTTTCTCTCATAAGATTACTCTAGAGTTCTTTTTGTTGAAGGGAGGTTATCCAATCATAAATCAACAACTACTAAAGCTGAAATGTTAAAACAAAGTTTGGAAACTCACAGTGCCCATTACCAAAGTGAAGTCGCTTCTCATCTGAACTGTGTTTTGACTTATGATAGCCACAGAACCTAGACGCAAAGCAAAGCAAGAAAATACATAAACCCACTATCCATGCTCAGAATATGTAAAGCGTCCCCCGCCCCACAAAATAAACCTTTCCCCTGAAACAATAATTTAGTGAAAGCTTATTGACATTTTATTTCTAGGTCCTCCACAAAAAGCCTCTTTTTCTGGGGACCCTGGGAGGCTGCCTAATGAGGAGATACGTAGAGTTGCCTCCCCACTGAGTAGACACCTCCAGTTCAGTTTTTATAATAGCATTAGAATGTGTTTATGGCATTTTTAACAACTACTGTTGGAATGAATAAAGGGTAAAGTCTCCGTTGGTAATGATTAGAACTGTGCCTTGTTACCAGTGTTTGGGGTGAGAAAGTGTCAAGGAAATCTGGGGTTATTTGAAGAACGAGGGGATAATTGGAAAAAGAAGGTAGAAACTAAGAGGGGGTTAAAAAAGGGAAGTGGTTTGTGTTAGAGGGTGAGGATAAGAACTAATGGAGATCGGGGTGTTTGTTGTGAGTATGAGTCTCTGAGTAATGTCGGGAGCTACACCAACATGACTCCCTAAATATAAGGTAGACAAGGCTGATAACAATGGACATGCTTGAGGAGCCAGTGGAAAGCCAATGAGGCATCAACACTACACAAAAAAAACTTACAAGCAAGTAAGGAATGGTGAGAACTGGAGAAATAGTCCTCCCAAGGGAACAGCACACCAGCTGGTTATCTAATACCAAACTCTTAGCCCCGAAAATATACATACAAGTAACACTGTATAGACTAATCAGGTTATATTTGGGAATATGTATTCATATATGCATTCAATAACAATGAAAAGAAGAGGCCATGAATTTGACAGAGAACAAGGAGAGGTATACAGTGGACTTTGGATGGAGGAAAGGAAAGGATGAAATACTGTAATCATATAATTTTTAAAAATAGTGGAGAAACAAAAGTGAAAGGAAACGTAGATGAAAATAAAAATAGCAAGTCTATGACAGAAACATTCTAATCCCTTCAATGACTTCTTTGAGTACACCGTCTTCAGACTCTAAAGCAACTAGGGCAATGAGAAAGCCATAGTAAGGTCAATAGTTCAGCAAACTAAACTCACCTCCCAATCAAGACATAAATGACAACAGTGAGGACAATGATGGCCACTGCTGCTGAAATAGCAATCATCACCACATGGCTATTTTCACCAGAGATGGAGAAAGCTGTGAGGTTGAAGGAAATAAATACAAGAACAACAATTACCACCATGGTTGAATATATGGCAGTGGCTATATATTCATCCTCCACACTGCTTTTATCTGAGAAATACTTTTTATCTGTGAAATAGAAACTGTGTCAGAAATAATACAGAAGAAATTCACCGAGTTTCAAACAAAAAAAGATATACCTCTCCTATTTTTTTTTACATAACTTTGAATTAATGTGTTATGGCTTAATAATAAATCACTCTATTTTCACATCATCAACATTACTTGGGTGTCTACATATGAAATATGGTGGCCTGCTTTAAGTCTGCTCATAGTGTCATGAAACACACTGGATAAATCAGAATTTACTGGCCAAGCACAGTAAACAGGTAGAGTTTCCAGTAAGAAACCAGCTTTGGGAAGAATCTCCCTTTGTACCTGATGTATCTATTTATCAGGCAAGGCAAGTTTCATTTACAGCAGTATGCATAAAGCTGGAAGGAATTGTAAGAAGTGAAATTACCCAGGCAAAGGACAAATGCTTTGCACACACACACACACACACACACACACACACACACACACGTCTAATAAAAGTCAGTCTCATGCAGTTAGAAGATTTGCAGCTATCAGAGTCTCAGAGAGTGATAGGGAGGAGGAAAAGTGCCTAGTGGGAACCAAGTTCCAGTTGTAAAAGACTTTCTAAACTCATGCTAATATTGCTCATGCAGTTAGAAGAGTTGCAGCTATCAGAGGATCAGAAAGAGTGAGAGGGAGGAGGAAAAGTGGCAAATGGGAACCAATTTCCAGTTGTAAAGGACTTTTCAAATTCATGCTAATGTAACTACAGCTGTTATAATTTATTACATATTAAATAATGAAACCTTATTACAAAAGATTATTGATGGAAGAAGATAATTTTAATTGTAGTAGGCTAACCTGTTATATATTTTCTATATTTGCTACACATACACAATTATTTTGTCAGTTTCAAATACAATTTGAAGAACACTAATGTCAGGAAATGCTAATTTGTGTACAACACATCACCAACAAACTCTCCCTGTGTTTCCTGTTTTCTTAAATAGACCATCGTTCATTGATTCATGAACATACAAAGAAGGCAAGGAGAAATAATTAATTCCAATCTACTCATCATCCAAATACTATATGGCTCACATCTAAAAGGGCTTTAATTTTGTGGAGAAAAGAGCAAAATATTATAACATTTGACAATTCTATGAACTTCAGTTTTCTGTGTTCATTAATAAATATTCATTGGAACACAAGCACAATTGGGAATAAATGCATTTGTTGAAGTGAGCAGCATCAATAGAGACTGTGTGTGTACACAGACTCAAATATTTATCTGCCCAATTACAATTTATGGAATCTTTACTAACACCAACACTTCTCTAACTGTAATGTAAACAAAAATCAACTGAGTCAAGTAGATCCCAGTTGTTCATTGTGGATCAAGGGTTAAGACTGTGGGAATTGCTTATGAGATCCCAGATGATGATGGCAGGCCTGTTTCTAGACCATTCATCTAACGATCAAGACCACAACTATGAAATCTTCTCCTCATTTTACTCCTGATCATTGCACATCTCATTTGTCACAAAATATTCTTGATATAGTATCCCATGTCTCCATTTGCCTTCTAGATTATAAGTAGAATCTCAAAATTTCTCTCTGTTCATCTTTCTTCTCCTTTACCTTAACATTCAAATATTCCTTCTACAAAACACATCTGCTGTACTATTCTTACACACAAAATCTTGGTTTCTGTCACCTGCAGGATTGAGTATAAATTTTAAACCAGGCATTTAGATTTAGACTCTAAGTCTCAAGTTTAATTTCAAAGTTCATGAGCGTCCAAACCTGAAGCTTTCAAAATGCTCAAAGGTCCTGGGAAAGCACTGTGTACACTCATATTGGTGTATGCCATTGTGCTGGCAAAAGGCTGGTTGAACACATGAAGAATTCTTGACTCAAAAGAGAAAATTGGAGGAGAGAGAGAGACAGAGACAGAGAGACACACACAGAGAGACAGAAACACACACACACAGAGAGAGAGAGAGAGACACAGAGAGAGAGGAGACTCTGAAGTGTCACTGTTAGTATATTTAAGCATTTTACTGGCAGATATGCCCTCAGCTGCTGCCATTAAGAGCACCATCTGTGCTTAGTCATTATGTTCCCTTTTAAAAGCACCCTGCTCACCTCCTCCCTCCCCCCCCTCTCTCTCTTTCTCTCTCTCTCTCTCTCTCTCTCTCTCTCTCTCTCTCTCCCTGTTCCTTCTCTTCTCTTCTTCTTCTCTGCCTCTCTCTCTCTCTCTCTGCCTCTCCTTCCTCTCTCCTGCTTCTCCTGTCCCCAGAGTCCAGTCTGCCCCATCCCTTTTGCCATTTTTATGATGCCTTTCTCCTAATAAAATACCCTTCTACTTGAAATTTGTCTCATGGCATCTTTCTGGCACCACTGTTTTTAAAATTACAACAGTCATCTTATCAGAAACAAACACTAACTCTTTAATTTTAACTTGGCCTAACTGACTTTGGGAGATTTTCTGCAAAACTGGTGGTTCTCTCATATTTAAGAACAGACACCATGCTCAACAGTAGAAGGCCAACATAAAACATAAACAAAGGTATTTTTGGTGGAGATTATCACATATTGCTTTGTTTGGACTTTCTTCTTTTTTTACCTGTCTTTTGTTTGCATTCAGATTTCTGAATTTCTAAGATTTGGGGGGTTATAATAATGTGCATGTATGCCTTTCTGTGTGCATATGCTTCTCATTAGATTTGTTTTTTGCTCATTTTATCATTTTTTTCTATTTGTCTATTTTCTTGAGAGAGTCAACCAGAGAGACAGAGAAAGACAGACAGAGACAGAGAAAAGAAAGAATTGGAAGGGTGGGGAGATGGGGAAACTCTAGGAGAAAATGAGTAAGGGAAAATTGTGATTAGGATATATTGTATGAAAATAAATTCATTTTTAATTAAAAGAAAAACATTAAAACAAAAAAATCAGCTGTTTCTTGGGAGCAGTTAAATGATGCAAGGTAAGAACCAGGGCAAAGCAGCTGTTGCTTGCAGTTCCTAGAGTTCCCTATGCATCTGAGAAAAGAGGCTAGAGTGTTAGTGGAGGTCACAGCATAGTATAAATAGTGGGAAGAAATTTATCTAGTGCATCCAGCCTCCTAGTGCTTATACCACTGTGCTGGTGATAGAGGGGAGGATGGGCTCAGGCTGTTCTACTGCATAGAGTACAGTGAACTTATCAGCCTGAAGCCCCTGCAACAGTAGTATCCACTGTCATCTTCACCCATAGACCATCTCCTCCATGGTGATTAAAAACAGCAGGGACAGGAGTGCTGGATCTGTCAAAACCAATAAAGGTTTTCTGGAGTGGGATATTTCCACCATTCACCTCCTTCCTGGTGTGGTTGAGAGTGTCCAATCAGTAGGTGGCTCTCCTCCTCACTAGTCCTTTCTTCTTGACCTCTTTTCAACATGCCAGGTAAACAACTTAGGCTGATAGTTTTCACAAACGTCTAATACATCCCACCTTTGACATTTCAGGTGCCTCTCCATAAGGCTCTTACTCTTGAAATTGCATCATCGTATCTGCTTGCCATATATATATTCCAGTCCACTGGCTACAGATGTGAGATTCCCCATAAAACAGTTTAGCCTGTGTTTCGTATTGCTGACACCTCTATTCTTCATTCCGTATAGTGCAATTTTTAATCATCAATAATTTTAAATTTCTATGGATTGTTTTAAATAACAGAATTTACTTAAGATACTTCACTGAGACCAGGAAAATAAATGATGAGGAGATATAACACTCTGCCTCTTCCCTTGTCAGTCATGGGATTAAGATATGAGTTCTCTGCAATATTACCCTGCTCCAAATATACATTATTTCTAGGAGTTACGTAAAATTTTCAATCAGATCACAGTAATGCTTGCTGTTGAAATTTGAAACAAAAGAACCTGAATAACGATATCAATGTAATATATAGATGACTAATATTATACACTGAAGTCATTGATAACTATTACATTGCTCAGAAATTCAATTTGAATTAACTTTCCCATGGATTAGATTCCTCACTTTTTCTTATCACATCTCATTTTCCGTTTATTTTAGAGATGATAGTATCTTTACATCATTTTCCTTTCCCTTGTTTCCTCCAGTGCCTCCCATATACACACCCTTTTCTCTAGTGTGATATATATATATATATATATATATATATATATATATATATATATCCTTCTCAATTTATATATTGTTACTTGTGTGTATGCTTTCAGGGATGACCATTTGTTATCATTTGTTTGTGGCCAATTGGTGTGCTCCTCTCATTTTAATCCATGGTGTTACTAAGGTGGAAAGTAAAGGGTTAAATAAGTGAATGCTGTTTTGACATAGCAAAATTGTGGGAGCATATATATATGTGCCACAGTCCTATTTATCTGGACCCTCTAGAATCCATAGAGGCAAATGGATATTATTACCCAGGATGTGAGCCTAAGCACTATTAAATTAGGATGCCCGAATGTCTCAGATCATGTTATTTGCCCTGTGCATTTTTACTAGGCATAGATACATCACCATACCAGCAATAATGTGATTTTTACAGCTGGACAAAAATATTTAGAAAATAGAAAATGCAAGTGCCAGAAAAATTGGGAAATTAGAATGGTCAGAAGAGATTACAAGGTTTCTCTTCAGTAGAGTGCTGGGCCTCATGGCTCTTTCCAGGATAATTCAGGTCTGATTGGGGTAGAACTTTCCCACCTCTGAGGCTATTTTCATACCTGTGGCTTTGGTTGTATGAAACCATCAGTGGCATATGTGTTTTTTTCTACTGTAATTAAAATGATACCTATTAGCTAGAAATATAATGAATCATCTCCTTTGGAAAAATTATCCATTTCATTAAATTTCTTTGTTCCATGGGATTAAAGCTACATAATATATTTCTTATTATTTATAGAAAAAAAAAATATTTCTGAACACACTCCATATATATATATATATATATATATATATATATATATATATATATATATATATTTCCACTCTCAATTAATTGTATTCTCATTTGTAATTCTGTTAAATCTTTGCTTACGTTTATTTTTATTAGCACTGTAGTAATGATCATTACCATTGAACAATTCTATTATATCAGAAGATTTTAAACTAAGAAACATGTACATTTAAAAAGATTAAATTTATTGAGAAAATGTTTGCCAACTTTAGACAAATTTTATCCATCTTTGACTGCAATGGATAGTCTATTTAAATTGCTTATGGATACAAATGAAACTCTAGGCACATTTCTAGAAATTTCCATAAATTTCCTCTAGCTATATGTATTGGATGTATTAAGGATTAAACAAATCTAATGTTAAAGCTGCTAATTACTATTAGAAATTCCAGGAGTTAGAATAAATTTGACACCACCTAAATATGATACCACATACACAAGAACATGCAGTTTGCTAAAGGTCTTCTCAATACACCGCCATGTCATGACTTTCTGGTAATGTTAAAAATAATTGATCAGGAACTCCATACTTTTTGCAACACCCCACTGCTTATAGTAAACCAAAGTAATACATACAGTCCGGACTAGTTTCAAACTCAAACTTGCGGCTATTGGTTCCATATCCTGCTGCTGTCCGAGCTCGAATTTGAAACACATAAGTTGTATCTGGCTTGAGGCTACTGATAGTAACATTTGTGCCTCTTGCTCTCAAAATGGTATAACTCGTCTCTTGTTCCTGCTTTGGAGTAAGAAAATAAAATCATGTTAACATCAAACCTTCATAATGCTATCATAGTAGATTATCTAAAACTTTGTCTCAAAGTATAAGATGTCATAAAGTACAAGTAATGTTAATTATTTCATTATTTGGGTATAAATTATCAGACTAATTGGTATTTAATGATTTACATTGTGTACAGAAAGCAGGAAAATGAGGTTTTACTTTTTTGAATTGCCTAATATGCAATTATACCTATTACAAAAATACCTTCTCTTCAAAATCAAAGCTGATATAAAACTTTAAATTAATTCTAAGATTAAGCGTATAAATACAGAGTTAAATGGAAGAGAAATACCCCGTGAATGCCCAATAGGAAATGCTTATATTAATCTTAAAACCATCAAAGATAAACTATTTTAATAGTTTAAATTATTTATCTCAGTATATGCATATTTACACTTAATCTGACTAACTATAATTGATTGAGATAAATGTTTTGAATGTCTTCACATCAAAGTCTAGAAGTAAACATGGCGGCTTCCTCTCTTGGGCAGCAATTCTCAAACTGTATGCCACAATCCCTTTGGGGTCACATATCAGAAATTCTTCATATCATATATTTACATTATGATTCATAACAGTAGCAAAATTACAGTTATGAGGCAAAAATGAAGTACTTTTATGTTTGGGGGGGTCACCTCAACATGAGAACTGTATTAGCATTGCAGCACTAGGAAGGTTGAGAACCATGCTCTCCATGGTTTATATGGCACATTATAATTCCTTTCATCAATTACTGTTTACAAAATGAATATAGGTAGAAGTTCATTGTCCTTCCTGAATATGCTCAAGTGGTAATTAAATAGATATTTTCTTTTACTTTGAGTTTGTATAAATGCAAAGGTCAAAGGTAGACATTAATTGTCTTCCTCAATTGCTTGCCACCTTATCTTTGAGACAGGGTCTCTCACTGAACGTGAAACTAACTCACAGGCTAGATGAACTTGCCAAAAGTCCCTAGGTATCCTGCTATATCTAACTCTTCTGTTCTTCAGGGATTCCTGGCACACATTTATACCCTGATTTTTATGGGCTATTAGGGATCTGAACTCTGGTCCTCATGCTCACACAGAAAACTGTTTACCAAATGAGCCATCTCTTTAACTCATAATTACAGATGCTCATTAACACAATATACTGACTAGATGCTATCTGAGCTACTACATGTTGAACAGAGTTGGAATTATTTTTACATCATTAATTTGCTTATTAAAAAGCCATTGCTGTAATACTCAGAACCAGGCCATGTTTATTCCTATTAACAAAGTAAGCATAAGAGAAGATAGATCTCGTGGGAGATGTTTTAGTAAAACATTCAAAATATTTGAGAATAATTTTAAAATTCATGCCTGCATGCTATAAGAAGTACATAATATATATAGGAATATAGTCTGAATTTAAACTTACATATGCAAAATTTTTTAATGCCTAGAACTTTTCCTATATTATGTAATGTGTTTTTAATGATATGCATCAGTTGTCTGAGGAACAACCATAAATGTGCTAACCTACTAGGAGTTTTGATGAGAACAGACTTAAATGCCCTGTCTATTGTTATTACTAAATGGATTACATTTGGAAGTGATATCTTTGATGTTACTATTCACTGTAGAAAAAAAGAGGACTTAACCAAATGATTTCTAAACTTCTTCTACCTAAAAATCAGAGAGGTCATATGATGAGGTTATAAACAGGGCTGTATCATACATAAGCAACATCATTGGGTTATTTGAAAGAATGTATGTAGCTCAGGAGATAGTAGGGTTTTCCTCTACCCAGTCCAACCGAGTAATGCCTTTTCCCCCACCTTTTCATAGTATTTGACCTCATAGTCCAGGATAATTCCATTTGGATGCTCAGGTTCTTGCCAAGATAAAGAAATACTATTTCTGGAGGTCCGATCTTTCTTAATTGTCATGACAGGTGATGGAGCTGTAGATAGATAAAGGGAGAGAGTGAGAAGTGGGAAGTAACAACACAGAGATAAGCCAACAAGCACAGGGATGCTACCCTTGCTCTAATATTTGGCAAGGAGGCCTTTTCCTTTTCCATTTCCAAGGCTCTCGAGCATTAATCTGGCCTCATGTGCTGCTCCAGCAGCTGGATTGCATCCCCGATGCGTGAAAGCCTATAGAGAATGAGCTGAAATTTTCTGCTGCTGGTGTACTAGTGGCAAGTGAGCAGATGTTTTCAATCTGCTACTATAATGTAAGCAGTGAAATATACTTGATGTATTAAAACATGGAACTAAACATCGGGACTACCTATTTGTTATAATGTTGCAAAGTTATTAATGCCAGATTCTTCAGCCCATTCTCATTGATAACATTTTCATGTGCAACTCTAGAAGTGGACTGGAATCCATTATGTACAAGGAGTCCCATGATATCCATAGGTAATTGCAATATTTAGTGTATTATACATTAAATATGATACATAACATATTATAGTAGGTCTTGATTTCTAATAGAAATTTCATGAATAAAAATAAATATTCAGGAAACAATACTTTACTTTTGAACTTTCATTTCTTAAGAAAAATTCAGTAAGAAATAGAAAGATTTATATATATATATATATATATATATATATATATATGCAGATACATCTTAAAAAAACATTTGTAATGGTGTTTCTACATGTTTTGCAAATCATTAAATGGCAATATAAACCCATATATGTAGGCCAGATATGATAAAAACATCTTCTTTTCTAACTTAAGATGATATATATTTGAAGAAATTTCCTACTTAGATCAGGAGGAGTGATGAGCAAAGGGGTCAAGAGCAGGCTGGGGAAACCCACAGAAACAGTTGACCTGAACAAGGGGGAGCTCATGAACCCCAGACTGACAGCTTGGAAACCAGCATAGAACAGAACCAGGCCCCCTGAACGTGGGTGTCAGTTACAAGACCTGGGCAGTCTTTGGGGCATTTGTAGTGGAACACTATTTATCCCTAGTGTATGAATGGACATTGGGAGGCCATTCCCCATAGAGAGATAATCTCTTAACCTAGATACACGGGAAAGGGCCTAGGCCCTGCCCCAAATGATGCCACAGAATTTGATGATCCCCATGGAAGTCCTCGCCCTTTCTAAGGAAGAGAGATGGGATGTGGGTCAGTGGGAGCGTGGGAGGGAGA